TGTTTGGTTACCAACATTCTTCAAAATATTATCATCTGTGTTCATCTCAACTCATACAGGTTTGGAACAATCTATTCTTTTAAAAACACTGAATCATTCAGGAACAAAATAATTATCTGCTTGATTCATTGGATGATTCTCTCAAACAATTCCTTCAAAACACTGCATCATTCAGGAATAACACCATTGTGTCAAGAAGACGCACAAAGATAGATTTGGCTTTGGCTTCGTTTGACACGTTTTAGGTTGACAGAGCAAAAATAGTCAAAGTATTTTGTCTAAAAAGCAAGTTACTCAATATTATCTTAAGGATATGTTGCGTAAAAGCAATTTCACATTCCCAGTCGCTGTTTTGATTCGGTCCTTCACTCACAAAGCCACAGACAGAACAAGCACTCTTGTACGTATGTGTCTTTGTGTATCGGTTAATAATAGCTTCTACCCTAATAGGTAACAAACTGACAGCTTTACCATCGCAATTGTTTCATCATTCTTACTCTCAGATAACCTGCTCTCCGAGATGGATGCTGGCTGTCTGCCAGTAAACAGCTCTCTCCAGAGGTTAGATTTGTCATCTAACAAACTCACCCAGCTACCCGTGGCCTTCCTGCAAAGACTCAACAATCTAGAGAGCATAGACTTCCAAAATAACCAGATGGAGGAACTGACTCCTGGAGCTCTGACCTCTCTGACAAAACTTGAGGCTCTGTACCTGGAAAACAACAGACTGAAATCCTTAGATCCATCAGCCTTCATTGGTAATCCAAACCTTCGCCAGATATGCTTGAGTGGCAACCGTTTTGAGAGCCTGCCTGCTAGACTTTTCCTTAAGCAGGACAAACTTGTTTTGCTTGACCACAGAAATAACTACCTGCAAAACCTGACTCCAGGTACTGTATATTGGATGGACGTTTGTATGCTGTGTTGTCTTGTAATCCATGGCACTGCAACTTTAGTTGGGCATATCTATGGCATTGGCTACATATGAATGAAAAAATACTTTTTCATCATGATAAAATCACTTGTCAAACACCTGAACACATGAAGGGTAGAAACATCACTGAAATTGCTGCTGCAGAGCTTGGGATCATATAATAAATCATATAATAAAATAGCCTACATATTTTAAGACATGCAGTCAGATGTTTTTGAAACTTATGCAATATTAAT